TGGTGCTGGTGACCGTGGTCGTGAAAAATTTTCGGGAAAAACGGGGTCAAGAAAAGAAACCAGGAGTCCAAGAAAAGACAAAACTTAAAGTTTTTCTAAAATTCGGTTTGAACAGGGGTCTTTTTTTTGAGACACCCTGTATATAAGTACTAAAAACGGGTGGTCAAATATTATAGAAGAAACGATGTTTACAAATTCGCTGAACATTTTAAAGATGATCCGGCTGGTGTTCATTGATGGGTCAAAAGGCTTAGTTTCCACTTTTTACCTCTTTCTCTTAGATGACAGCTTCTGAAATGAAAAAGAGAAAAAGAAAAAGAAAAAGGCTTCATGAAGGGACATTCATGAATAAACATTCTCGTTTAAGAGAAAAGAGATGAATTATAAGTGCAAAAGGAGGAAGGGAAAACAATGGGTGGATGTAGTGGATGAGATATAGTATTGCAGATAACAATAGAGTACATTAAGTACAAGAGTACATTGAATAGGTTTTAAGAGTTACTCCACACATTACATCAATAAAATCACAAACAAGCAAGCAAGCAAGCAAGCATTGCAAGCTATTCAAGGTTCAAAAACGAACTTTATTTGAGCATCTATGGATTTAAAGAAGAAAAAATTCTAACTCTAAAGTTCTAAAAGTGATTCTAAATGGTTAAATATAAAGTTGCTGTTCTCTTGTTGTGAGGATTTCAAAAAATATACCGTATTTCTTCGAATAGAAGACCGGGTAAAGAGTATGATCGCGTACTCCTGCGTAGCAGGCCTTTTTAAAATTTCTTTTCTTCATAAAAGCTTTCAATCAAGTGCTATAGAGCTGAAAAATGGCTCAAAAATCTGTTAGCTCATGTCGTATTTTTGAGTCATTTTCCAGCCCTATAGCACTTCATTGAAAGCTTTTATGCAGAAAAGAAATTTTAAAAAGGCCTGCTACGCAGGAGTACGCGATCATACTCTTTATCCAGTCTTCTATTCGAAGAAATATGGTATTTAGAATCAGTTAAAAAACTAAAAACAAACATTTTCAATAACGTAAAGTCACTAAATTGCAAAATAAGGTTTCACTTTTTTTTTTGACTGTAAGAAGAAGGAATGTTTTCAAGATTTCAACCTTTTTGTGTTGTAATCGTGAGAAGTGAGAGTGCAGATTTTATCGTTTTCTGCTAAGGGGAATTTGAAACAAAAAAGACAAATTTTGAAGAAAGACAATGCACAAATTTTGACCGAATGAACAAAGGGAATGAATTTTTAAACTTTTCGAATGAGATTTGTTGAAGTTGGACAAGTTTAAGGGGAAATTGAACAGTTTACTGCACCTACCGTAAATACTGTAATAGTAGTGGGGTACTATCTAAAGGAGGATAGGATTTCTGAAAAGAATTGCTCTTTGATTGTTTGATGACATTAAAGTAAAGTAAGCAGGATTGATGTTTATGCAAAAGAACCACGATCGAGTAAAAAGGAAGTTAATCTTTGGTTTTAAAATACCGTAAATACTGTAATAGTACCCCAGCCGCATAATGACGGTGCGGAGTGTTGTGTAGTCTAGCTTTGAACGAGTTTTTCTCGACACTGGTTTATGCTGTAATGCGCGCTTAGGTATCAAAAAATAGCCCTGAATTTCAGCTATTTTTTGATACCAAAGACGCATTTTTAAAAGTACGGGTGCTTTGAAAAAAATGAAATACAAAAAAACTTTTGCGACTACGCGACTGTACGAGGGGGATGGGGTACTATTACAGTATCTACGGTAATTGCTTTGTATTGCGATTGTATTGCGCGACTAAACCGTTTGAATCGTTTACGAGGGGGGCGGAGTACTATCACAGTATTTACGGTAACAATATCTAAAGAGCTAAAATGTAGATTAGCTTTAAACTGAGTTAACGCTTTAGTCAAGTGTTAACTTAGTTTAAAAGTGAAGCTGAAAAGTGAAAAGTGAGACGAGGAGTTCGAAATGTTGAAACGAAAGAAAGAAACGAAAGAAAAAAAGAGAATTTTTGGGGGAAATGATCCTTTTGGAGGCCCAGCTCAGAGCCGTCATTTGACCCTTCTTCTCAATCTTTTCTCAAAAGTTTTCCTTCAATTTTCTCACAAAAAGAGACTTCAAATAGAGATGATTTGATAGGAAAGCTTATCGAAGAAAAGTTAGATGAAAAGAAAAGGAGAAATGTGCAATAAACCGTTTGAATCTTTTGAATTGACCGTTCTAAAGAGTTTTTTTTTCAGTTTTTAAGCTTTATTCAGCTTTATTTCTCTATTTTTTTCATTTAAAAATAGTTTAGGAAATCGGCAATCAGGAATTGTTCATTTAGGAAAAGATTTTGCCAAATTTTAAAGCCAAATTTCAGCAGTACTTGTTTAAAACTTGATTTCAATTGTTACTAAAATCGTTGAAGTAACAAATTTCAAATTGGAAGCAGAATATTCTAGAGTCAAAAGAGTTGGGTAGCTAAAATTAGTATTTAAATTGTTTCTACTCAATTTGTGCTCAAAAAATAGATTGCTTGATGTCTTTCTGCGTCCAATCAAGAGATTCTGTCTTTCTGCGTCCGATCAAGACGCAGAAAGATATCAAGCAATTTATTTTTTGAGCACAAATTGACTAGAAACAATTTAAATACTAATTTTAGCTACCCAGTTCTTTTGGCTCTAGAATATTATGCTTCCAATTCCTGTTTTTAAACAAAAATAGATTGTATAGAAGAAAAGAAGAAAAATTTCTGTGTATTGATAAATTTTTGTCTATTTTTAGGTAAAGCTGAGTAACTTTCTAGAAAAGAAAAGGGAAAAAAACCATTGGTGAGTTAGTCAGACTTTAGCAAAGAATTATTGAAGCTCTTGTTTTCAAAGGTTGCAAGAAAAGTCTTGAGATGAAATCATCAGGATGAAAATTAGAGTTTAACTCTGTGTTATCATATGATTTTAGATATTAGCTTATGACATTATTTAAACGACAAGATTGGCTGCTTAATTCTTAAAGTCATTCTGAATGTGAAAAGCTAAGGACATTTAATAGAAGACTATAGAAAAGATCACTCAAAACATCCTAATTCTTTGATCAAATACTTTTAAATATCTGGAAAGAGCATTCAAGTAATTGTACAGTAAATTTGTTTATCATTATGCTTTCAGGATTACAGAAAATCATTTTAGACTGTCCAGAAAGTCCAGTCATTTCCAGAATTCCTTTTCGTAATTGAAAAATAACAAATTCACTCAATTAACATATCCTTAACTCTAAATAATACCGTAGATACTGTAATAGTATCCCAGCCCCCTCGTACAGTCGCGTAGTCGCAAAAGTTTTTTCATAAGACTCAAATACATCTCAAAAGACTTTCTGACCAGCGAACTCCGTAATCCCCTGTAGACGGAGATTTTGTTGGATAAACAAATATAAATTATAAATCATGCAAAAAACGATACATCAAAACTCAAAAGGCTGTGTTCTCTATAATCTCGGCTCTACGAGTTATTTCTGCACATTAGCGAAGTCGAGATCTTCTTGTTGCTGATTGCAGTGAAAGTGCACAAATTTCTCTACACAATTCTTTCAATAGGAGTTCGAGAATCTTTGATAGAGCGATTTTTGGAACTTCTCATTTCGAAAACTATAAGATGGCAGTTGTTTTGTTGGGTTTGATGATCACTCGATGATACGTTCGTGTCTGTAGTGTCTCATATCTTTCAGACATTTCTACTTCTCTTACCAACCACTTTTTAACGTGAACAGATCAAATAAGATTACTTTAATTCTTTTAGCTTATCATTTTAGACTGTCCAGAAAGTCCAGTCATGTTCAGAATTCCTTTTCGTATTTGAAAAATAACAAATTCACTCAATTAACCTATCCTTAACTCTAAAAAGATTGAACAATAAAAACTGCTTATTGTTCAATCGATTTAAGTCAATTTCGACACAAACCATAGTTCAATTGATGCATTTGTTGATTTTAAACGAAAATGCGAAAAGAAACGAAAAGACTTTCTGAACAGTCTAATAGAAAAACTCCGTAATTTCCTGTACTGTAGTGTCTGATATCTTTCAGACATTTCTACTTCTCTTACCAACTACTTTTTAACGTGAACAGATCAAATAATCTTATCACTTTAATTCTTTTAGCTTATCAGATTTGATTATTCTATCAAGTGAAATTGAATCAAATTCTATCATAAACCAGTGTCGAGAAAAACTCGTTCAAAGCTAGACTACGCAACACTTCGCACCGTCATTATGGGGGTGGGGTACTATTACAGTATTTACGTTAAGTGCTTATTGTTCAATCTTTTCAAGTCAATTTCGACACAAACCATAGTTCAATTGATGCATTTGTTGGTTTTAAACGAAAGTGCGAAAAGAAACGAAAAGACTTTCTGAACAGCGAACTCTGTAATCTCCTGTAATTGTAGTGTCTAATAGAAAAACTCCGTAATCCCCTATATTGTAGTGTGTGATATCTTTCAGAAATTTCTACTTCTCTTTCCAAAAGTGAACAGATTAAATAATCTTATCATTTTAATTCTTTTAGCTTATCAGATTTGATTATTCTATCAAAGTGAAATTGAAATTTAAACTCAAATTTTATTTCCTATAATAGAAGATCAATTTTCAACTCAAAGAGAAACAAAAAAAGTTCTTTTTTACTCATTTTTTTTGCATTTAGAGAATTCTTTCCTCGAATCGAATAAGCGAAAGACTGAAAAGTGAAGGAAATAAGAACAAGAAGATAATGAAAAAAAAAAGAGCAAAAGCCTGTTCTTTTCCCGTCCTTTTCCCTGTTCTTCAATGTCTGTTTCTTTCAGTTTTTTAATTATCAAAAGATTTCATTACTCAGAAATTGTAAAGAAAAAAGTTCTTGTGCTTTCCAAAAAATGAGGTCAAGATTTTATTAAGCACACCGCTCCATAGAGATTTATTCGAGAATAAATAAATTATATAATAATAACTATAACTGGGTGTTGTTCAGCGGCGAGAGTGAGTTTTTTTTTGTTCACTTAACCGGCGTAGGCTCCAACGGGGGCAGCTGGGGCAGAGTATCCACCGATTGGTGCTGGTGGTGGGGGAAGAGCTTGTGGTCCGGCGTATGAGGGTGGAGCCTGAGCGTATCCACCTCCTCCGATGGCTGGTGGAGGAGCAGCATATCCACCTCCGATAGCTGGTCCAGCTGGAAAGCGATCAGGTAAATGGTTTTAGATCTTCTTTAAATCTCAAGCCTTAATGAATCTTGAATCCAGCTTCAGTTCAGCTTCAAAGTTCAAATGGAAAGAATTTCTCGAAAAAACTCACAAGAGAATCCACCACCGCAACCGCATGGAGGAGGAGGAGGCGGGCAGAGGCTAGGGAGGGAGAGGCATCTGAAAATTCGTTTTTAGAAGTGGTAAAGTCAAGTTAGCAAACTTTAACTCAAAAATTTAAAACAAACGGTGGTGGGGGTGGAGGGCATCCACATCCTCCTCCAAGGCATCCGAAAGCGGGAGCAGCCAAGAGAGCGACAACGAGCAAAAATTTCTGAAACAATAATTGCATTTTTTTTAAAAGATCAATCTTTCACTTTGATTCACTAGATCTAAAGTTCAAAGAAAAAAAGGGATAAAGCCAAAAGATCAGCTTGTCAAAGAATAGAAAGAAAAAACTCACCATTGTTGAGCTGTGTGTGTATGAAAATCCGTCACCGGAGTCTGCTTGTTCAACGACTTTGCTGCGGTTTTATAGTGGTAGGTGGAAGGGGTGGATGCCAGGCGTGAACTTAACGCTCTCCGCCCATCGGATGCCTTGAGGGCAAGGAAAGGAAAAGCAAGACATCAAGCCGAGAATGGAAGTGAGAATGGGGAAGAGATGGGAAAGAGATGAGAAAGAGAGGAGGAATCAGTCCTGTTAGAGGTTTCGAGTGAGAGGGATTATTAGGGATCAAGTGAGTTGAAGAATCAAGGAAAATGATGAAATAGGAAGGGATATAGAAGAGATAGAGAAAAGATGACAATTGATGTAGACAAAGTGAGACATTTGATAGGATAATGGATTGAAGAATGATAGAGAAAGATATAGAAGAGCAAAAGATAGCCAAAAGACTTCTTCAGGCTATTGATAGCATTGGAAAAGAGACATAAAGCGACAAAACAGAGAAAAAGAGACGAATTCTATTTGAGATTGTAACGAACTTGATGTATTCCCTTTCATTCAAATCTCTTTCTTGATTTGCCACCGGTTATCACATGCCAACTCTTCCGATGTCACAATGTCATGAAATCGAAGACTTTGAAAGAAAGTCAATTCATAGACAGGTTCACCTTGGGGGAAAGAAGAAAGAAAGAAAGAAAGAAAGAAAGAAAGAAAGAAGTAAGAGCATTTCATCAACCATTTCCCTCCAAATTCCTCTTTGATTGCCACAAAAAAAAAAAACTTTAATTGTGTAATTGACCGGAAAAGGCAAGTGATGACGTTCCTCTTTTTCACTCATTCCTTTGTTCTTGCAAATTTTATGTCTGATTTTGGCTGGGTTTTTTTTTGGACTTGATGATTAGATTAAGATGTGATTAAACTTGATGTAAACGATTTGAAATACGATTCAAAATACGATTTGAAATCCACTACGTGCGGAAAGGAAATTTGAATTCGCGCTAGAAATTTTTGCGAAACTCTTAAATTTTTCTAAAGGTTTTAAGATGATAAATATTTTATTTTTCTTTGATTGGTCTTATTCGTGTAGTCCGGAAGAACAGGGAAGTGGAACTGCAATAGTAAAGTCAGTCAAAACTCTAGTTTATAAAAAATTCTTGCAAGATCAGTAAGTTGCTTTTTTTCAGCTCTTGATTACCATATTCTCTCAAATAGTAGTGGACCCGGCCGAGTTGATGACTATTTTATGGAGACGGGCTACATGAAAGATGTTCCAAAGGTGAGTTGTCATTAAACTTGATACAAACGATTTGAAATACACTACGTGAGGAAAGGAAATTTGAATTAGCGCTAGAAATTTTTGCGCAACTTAAAGTTTTCTAAAGGTTTTAAGATGATAAATATTTTATTTTTCTTTGATTGGTCTTATTCATCTTTTTCTTATGACTCTATAATCTTTATTTGCATAATATTCTTCTAATCTTCATTATTAAGTTTTGAAAGAACTTGTCCATTTCCGTTTCTTTATTTGATTTAGATATGATTGTAATTTCATATATCGTATTTTCTCTAATAGTAGGAGTCGAGTTGATGCCTATTTTATGGTTCCCAAGCTTTTGCAGAAGCTCAAGACTCTAATCATCGTCAAGATCTCATCGTCAGCTACATTTTCCGATCCCACATCGATAGGTTCTGATAAGTGATTCTCGAGATTACGAGGAATTTAGGCAACGCTCTCGGTGCACTACTATTAGAGAGAATACGGTATCAAAGATTCAGTAAATAAGAAAAAAATGCAATGCTTGAGAAGTCAAACTCAACTTAAATCAGTTCTTGTGACTGAAGTTGTCAGTTGTCAAATGGCACAATGTCATTTGAATGTTTGTGAGTGAATCCTTTTCGTTTGTATTGAAAAACTATCTAGACAATCGAATGATGAGTCTTCTTGACGGGACTAAATTTGCATTTGATTTTGTAACAGCTTACAGTTACAGAATGAGCCTATGACAGCTATATTTTCACTGACCTTTCAAGTCTTTCAAGCTCTCATCTTTCACCCACAAAACCTCATCAAAGCCAAAAAAATTCCTGTTGAGTGCATTTCCCGGGCAGATCTTTCTCTTTTCTCCTTCTGGGTGAATACGCAATGTCTACAAAAAGACAAAAACCGTTAAAAAGGGAAAAGCTGATTATCATGGGGAAAGATTAGGTGATAATGATGGGTGAAACTGTCAGGGGAATCAAATGGAATTCTTTCTCGTTTTTTCATCATCAGACATCAGACGTTCATCAGACAAAGAAGTTGGCAATGGCAATAGCTGCATAACAAGAGTTCAAGGTTTACTCGTGAAGAGCAGGGGAGTGAAACTGCAATAGTAAAGTCAGTCAAAAATCTAGTTTATAAGAAATTCTTGCAAGATCAGTAAGCTTTTTATCAGCTCTTGATTACCGTATTCTCTCTAATAGTAGTAGACCCTTAGTGACTATTTTACGGTTTCCAAGTTTTCCCAGAACCTCAACACTCAAATCTCCACAAGATCTCATCGTCAGCTACATTTTCCAATCCCACATCAATAGATTCTGATAAGGGCTTGTCGAGATTTCGAGGAATTTAGGCAACGCTCAAGGTGCACTACTATTAGAGAGAATACAATCAACATTGACAAAGTTAACTTTAAACGCTTGACAAGTAGTTACACTTTGTCTGAGTTTTTTTACTTGTTTACATGTTTTGAGATTGATTTCCTGAAAGCTTACAGTTATTCAGTAATTTATTCATTTTCAAATTGTTAACAGTTTTTAACTCTTGTAAATTGAATAGATTTTAGAATAAGAAGCCCAAATTGAACTATGAAGTGAGTTTTTGATCTAAAAAACTATAGGTCTAAAAACTAGTCAGTTTAAATGACGATAGATCTAACTTTTACAGCAATATTGCCTAATAAATTAGCTTTTCAAAGAAGCTTTCCAAAAAGTGCACTCACTTTTCTCTTCAGACTATCAAATAGGATTTGAAGGTTAATCCATACACTAGATTCTAATCGCGAAAGCCGAACTCAATAGTGGCTGCCTAAAAGAGATTTCCACGAAAAACGCCGAAAAACGAGAAATTCGCGACGGCAATAATCGGGACGATCTTTTTTTGGAGTAGAGGAAGAGATCTCACACCGATTTCTCCCACAAATTTCCTCTTCATTTTCCAAACGAATCGAGCGGTGCAAAGATTGAAAAGTTTTTTAGGGAAAAAGAGGAAAGTGTGGTGTCTGACGGGGAAGTCATCGTTTTCATAGAGATGTCTATGAAAGAGATCAGATTCATAGAGATGTCTCAAATATTCATTTGAGCGTGAGCATTTGAGCACATTTGAGCGTCGTGTCTAAATTAACTAAAGTCTAGCAGATTATAGAGTTGCTTCTTTAACTATACACCCAAAATATTTCGCTTTTGTTTTGAATAAACTCTTAACGAAGAAAGCCAAGTTGAGCCTAAAATAGATCAAAATTTGGGTGAAATTTGAATTTCGACTCAAATAGCCTGATATGGCGAGCTTTTTAAGCTTTTTAAGAGCTTTTTAACAAGCACTAATTGTATTTGACTTCTCGAAAACATCGATGTTATGTTTTACGTTTCCAAACTTGTCAATCATTATCCTTTTGTACTTTACAATGCTTTTCGATAAACGGAAATCGAGTTTTTTTTGAGGCTTCCACAAAACTTGCCTTAAACCACCCTCCTCGAGAAATAAGACGAGATTTACGGTCTCCGATTTGGCATTTCCATCTCCGCAACAGCTCACAAATTTGTTCGATCCAGTTCTCGTATTTGGAAGAATTTTTTCGTGGCTATGTTTTTTGGCTTATCAAAACCGGAATTTCAATTTGGCAATGCGAAAAAGAAGACATTTTTCTAAGAATTGTAACCATTTTTTTTATCTAATTTGATTTTAAGCAAAAGTTTTTAGTGTTAAATTTTTGTTTATATTCAAATTTATCCAGAGATAGAAAACCCGAAACCTTTTTCTTTGAAAGATATGAAATAACAAATTAGAAATGAGAATAACACCCGTATACGATAACAATATCACAATGATGATTGAATATCTAAAGGTTTAAAGATTTTAAAGCTTCCTCGAGTCCATACAATTTGGAAAACAATCTTTGAGCTCTGAAGCGGTTAGCCAAGGGATCACTCGAGCTACCTGAAAAGTTCATTGACTTTTATAAACCAAAGAATGATTATTTTAGGTCAAAATCGTGATACTTTTTCTATCAAACAATTCTGATACAAAATTTTACTTACTTTTTACTTTTCTCAGCTTTAAACTATAATAATATTATCAAAATCGCTTAGTTCAAACGAATCTTGGGTACTTGTGAGTCTTATCTCCTCAAGCTTTTGATCACCCAATTTGAATCAAAAATTTGTCGAGATAAGATGCTTGGAAACGTTAAATCTGAGAAAAGATTTCTATGGACCAAATTTTGAATAAGAATTCGTAACAATTTCTGAAGAATCTGTTCTGAAACAAATAAAGAAACGGAAATGAACAAGTCTATAGTAAAAGTTTCTTTCAAAACTCAATAATGAAGATTAGAAGAATATTATGCAAATAAAGATCATAGAGTCACAAGAACAAGATGAATAAGACCAATTGTCTTGTCTAGATAGTTCTTCAATACAAACGAAAAGGATTCACTCACAAAGATTCAACTTCAGTCACAAGAACTGACTTAAGTTGAGTCTGACTTTTCAAGCAGTGCATTGTTTCTTATTTACTGAATCTTTGAGACCGTATTCTCTCTAATAGTAGTGCACCTTGAGCGTCGCCTAAATTCCTCGAAATCTCGAGAACCGCTTATCAGAACCCATCGATGTGGGATCGGAAAATGTAGCTGACGATGAGATCTTGACGATGATTAGAGTCTTGAGCTTCTGCAAAAGCTTGGGAACCATAAAATAGGCATCAACTCGACTCCTACTATTAGGGAAAATACGATATATGAAATTACAATCATATCTAAATCAAATAAAGAAACGGAAATGGACAAGTCCTTTCAAAACTTAATAATGAAGATTAGAAGAATATTATGCAAATAAAGACTATAGAGTCATAAGAAAAAGATGAATAAGACCAATCAAAGAAAAACAAAATATTTATCATCTTAAAACCTTTAGAAAACTTCAAGTTTCGCAAAAATTTCTAGCGCTAATTCAAATTTCCTTTCCTCACGTAGTGTATTTCAAATCGTTTGTATAAAGTTTAATCACAACTCACCTCTGGAACCTCTTTCATGTAACCCGTCTCCATACCCATCAACGATTCAAGGATTTTCTTCTCGTCAACTTTTGCGTCTTTTCGAAAATACCATCCATCCATTGAACCCTCTCGGCATTTCTCAATCTCCGGAATTTTCTGAAAGAATTATGTTCGTATATCTATTTGTCAGTGCTCACGTTTTTATGTTCTTTACATTGTTTTGCATAAAAATATGAATCTAGTATCTAAGTCAAATGTTTTTAAAGTCAAAAATGGGAAAGCTGTTGCTTTGAAACAAAGCTGAATTTCCTTGCTCACCTCGTACGGCGATTGCCAGCCATCTTCACCAATTTTCATCTGTTTCCACCCATGATAAAGGAAATCGCGATCGGAAAACCTAAAAAGAAGATTTTCAAATAAACAACTCATTACTAAAACTATTAAAAAAGAATCTGACAATTGTAATTACTAAGAATATATATAACTAGCTCACTTTTGATCGGTCAAGAAAGCGTCTCTTGCAAAGCCTTGTCCTTTCGGCAGAATCTTAAACTTTCCAGGCCAAAATCGGTTTGCGCCTAAAAGAATATTATTATAGATTTACTATCAAAGCTCACCAAACATTGTTTTTGCACAGAAAACCATTCCAAAGTAGGACCAATAATCTTTTGATCGATTTCTCCAAATCTCATCGCACATCGCCACCGATCTTGGCGATGTTTCGTTGAAGAGATGCTCGAGGAGATTCATCTGAAAATAAAGGCAATATACAACAAGTATACTCAACAATTTAATTTAAACATTTTAATTGTTACAAGAAAGGTTAACATTGCTATTGATGCTGACTATAATTGTCAACAACTACAATAAAGTCACAGCCTATTTCATCTGAAAATCAAGGCAATATACAACATGTATACTCAACAATTCAATTTAAACATTTTAATTGTTACAAGAAAGGTTAACATCGCTATGATTGTCAACATCAATAGCAATGTTGATTAATCATAGCAATGTTGATAGCAATGCTGACTATAATTGTCAACAACTACAATAAAGTCACAGCCTATTTAGCCTCGGATAGCTTGAATAAAAAGAAATATATTTGAATATCAAAAGTGAATAAGCCTGAAACAAATAAAGTAAACTCACATGAAGTATACAGTTGTCATTTGTCCCAAATGGAAGATTCGGTCGTCGGAACTCCCAATTCGCCCAATCTTCGATGAATTTCTTGGCGAATGGTGTGTTTTTCACCTAAAAACAATCAGTAAGCTTCAAAAATCAGTAAACTTTTTAAAAACTCACAATCCAATTGCCCGCCATCACTTCGAGGTTGAAAAATCGCTCATAGAAAACGAAATTAACTCTTGGATCGATAAACTCCTCAATGCAATGCTCTGGATTCACCACACCTAGAGATATGGCTGAGATATCTTATATAAATTTTCTTCCTAACCTGTATCAGCATCCATAACCAGCCACCAATCGCTTTCATTGAGATATTGAGCAAGAGCACAGTGACGATGAAACATTATCTGAAAAAAAAGCGTTTTAAAAGCCAACTATAAATTTTTAGACTTACATCATGATGATGACTACATTTTGCTGTCACTCTTGGATCATTGTAGATGTCAACAACACGCAACTCATAGTCAGTGCCTTTCAAGTAGCATTGCAGTGTTGAATGGGAGACTTTGTAATGTCTAAAAGTTAAAAGCATTTGCTGACTAGCCAGGTCTAGTCTAAACTCGGTCTAGGCCTAGCCAGCCTAATCTGATCCTAAAGTAATGATCCTGGTTCCGACCTAGATAAGAAAAACTATACCTAGTAAAAAAAAACAAGTCAACTTTTCTCTTTTTGACTCACTCTTTGAATGAATCTTTGTTGGCACCGATAAAAATTGTAACTTTTCCATAAATGTGTTCACATCTGTCCATGTTTTTCCTAAAATCAAAACTTTCTAAACTTCAAAATGTAAACAAATCTATTTTAATCATAAAAATCTTCACCTTTTTGGATATGGAACATATTTCGGAGAGTCTTGGACATACTAAATCAAGAGTAATAACCGTTAGATTTTGGAGTTTTTAGAATCTTTAAATAAATTTAGAATCTACAGGGTGGGCCAAAATGATCGTTACGATGCTCACTCGCGCTCATGCTCACGCGCCAAAATTTTCCAGATTTTATCTCATTCAACGAGTGGCCGCTAAGTAGTCCGGATCTTAATCCGATGGATTTTTCTGTCTGGAGTGTCCTTGAAGCCAAAGGATGTTCAAAACCACGAAACTGTTGATAGTTTGAAAAAAGCGCTCGAAAAGGCTTGGGAAGAGCTGGATCCCGCATACCTCCTCGTCACGGGTTTTTCCACGACGTTTGGACGTCTGTGTAAAAGCTAATGGAGATCTGTTTGAAAAGAAATAGTTTTTATGAATTGTTATGAGACAATAAAAGTTATTTTTAAGAAAAATCTTTGACCTTTTGAGTTGTTTTTTATACAGAGACTTTTTTATATGTAACGGTAATTTTGGCCCACCCTGTACTATAAATAAAGGGATTAAGATGTCTGTCTGTCTGTGCGCACTACTCCTTCGCGCCCAGTGGGTCGTTTTAAATCATTTTTAGTTAGTTTAGCTTAGAATTTCATGTAGTTGTGCAACATGTTTTTAAATTTTTAAAAAACCAAAAGTGCTGACGCGGGCGAGAGTCGAACCCGGGTCCTGTGGGCTAGAGACAAGTGCTCTCGCACTGAGCCATCTCCTGGAGCATAGCTGAGTGGTTAACGCGCACGTATTTCAAACAAACGAAAGGGAGATGGTCGTGGGTTCGCCTCCTCTCGCCGCCAATTCTTTTGCTTTTTGTTCCAAAAAAAGCAGCGAAGCTTCTGGTAGTGAAATAAACCTCAATTCTGGTGTATGATGGTTGTGCGAAAGGCGGTGGTTGATGGAAAAGCGTGTAGAAAAAGTGGAAGAGTAACACGAGGAACAGCGCAAGGAAAAGCACCGAAGCACAACGACGCAACGCTCCGCTCAATCGCATTTCACATCCTAAAAGCTGAATAGTTAAAAAAGAATGCTGATTATTTAAAAGCATATTGTCTTTTGGTTGGCCTAATCGAATTCCTCAGTCATTAAAGTTTGCCTCTCAACAGAATGCCATGAAGATCAATCTATAAAAGCAATTATTCTTCAATATCTATCTAGCTGCTGCTTCAGTTTATACCCAGAATAACTGAAAGCTAAGAAGTATAAAATTTTTAAACTAAACATAAAGTTGACGAGCCAGCTGCTCGTGGAGGGCTTTGGTTCGCAATAATACTGGGAAAATCACTTTGGATGAAGGAAAACCTCATTCCAAGTTAATTTGGATGAGTGTGGCGAATTGTCACTGCTCTGCAGTTAGTCAAAAATTCAAAGTTGATGGATAAACTACCGTAAGTAGTTTGAGCGAAGTTGCCCTAATAAGGGAAAGTTGGATAAATTGTGCGTTTTCAAGAGGACCACTATTGAACCACACCGAGACACGGTCTCACAAGAAATTATATAGATCAAAACATCAACATATATTTCTTACAATGAGGGAAAACCTCATTCCAAGTTATTTGGATGAGAGAAACCTCATCCAAATTGAAGATCTCACCTTAAACACATTGCTTCAAAAAAATTAAAAATCTCTTCGAATAGGGAATCGATTTCAATACATACACCCTTATCTTTTGCAGTGGAAAGCCTATTAAAAGCATTCACGAGAAACCGCCGTGACTCATCACTAAGTCACATCTATTTGTTAAAATCAAACTTTGATAGTATAAAAACTTACTAATAAATTCGCTGAATGTTTTTTAGTCGAAAAAGTAAAATCAGGAACTGAATGCAAAAGCAAAAAAATCGACGAAAATCCTACAATTTTGTTTTGACTAAAAAATGAGACATTTGTCTATAGAAAACGTTTTTTTTATGGGGAAACGGAAAAACGGGAACGAATTAATTATCGTTTTTTTTCGGAAAAATATTAAACAGTGACAAGCTTTAAAAAATTAAAAAGCGAATCCCCAAAATGAGCTTTCTGACTTTCTCGAAAAGTTTAAACCAAACAAAATGAATAGCGCAAATTTTTGGGATCAATTTCTACCTTAAAGGGGGGGGGGGTATTAATCGCGGCCGGGTGACCATAAAAATTTTTTTGACGGCAACCACCTATTTTTTTATTTTAATATCGCTGGTTTTATTATAAAAAGAATAAAAATCACCCGGCTAGAGTGATTTGATGGGTTTACAAAATTTTTTGGAGACGCTACTAGGCTCGCGTAGTTCATCTAATAGGTTGATGCATAAGTCTTTTCGTTTTTTTCGTACTTCTGTTAAAAAGTAACAAATTCACGAATTAATCTATAGTTTGCTCTATAAAAAAAGTGTTTTTTTGTTCAATTTGCATCTTTTTAAATGAATTTCGGTTCACTTTCAAGCAAATTCGAGAGTGAAAAACGCCTTTTTCGTAAAAATCTATAAAGAACTCTACGGAAAAATTGGCTGAATGAATTTCTCTGAAATTTTGGCGAAATATCAAACGTTTTTTTTCTCTATCTTTTATCTATTGACACGAAGATAGGTTTTCTTTAGCTAAGGTGTCTAAACCGCATCATCGAGTTAGCCCTTTTTGACTACCCGACTTCATAATCTCAAGAAAATCCAGGCATTAAATCTTTTTAAACCCGTTTTAATGTTATTTTGCAGAAAAATAATTCGTTTTTCTAATGAAATCAACCGTAGTTTAATTGGTGCATTTGTTGGCTTGAAACGGCAGACGAAAAGGAACAAAAACACTTATGCATCAAACTAATACAAGGTAAGTGCGAAAGTAAAGCAAAAGTCAGGCATTATGTTTTCTTTTTGTTTTCTTTAGTCTTTCGATCTACACTTTTGGTTTTTAACATCTCTAGATGCCTTTTTCAAGATGGAGATTTTATTTTTAGATAATGCAAAAGATCATTAAGCTAATCTAGCTAATCTAGCTAATCATTAAGCTAATCTTATGATCTTCTAAATACTCTTGTTTTTTTCGAAAGCCAAGAAAACTTATGTTAGGAAACAAAAGAAAACCACAATCGAATGGAAAAAAAGATCTAATTGCGTCAATCAAAGCGCTAAAGATGGGGGAGTCATTTCTGTTGAGGATTCGCTGGAAATTGACTAAGATAGGAAGCCGATTTGAGAAACTGCTGTACTTGAGCGAAGATGAAAGTGAGCAAGAGGAAGAATTATAGATTAACAACTTATTTTTATTGTTTTTTGTGCTTTTTATTTTGTCTTTAAATTTATCTGCAATTAAAACTCAATCGATCTAGACTGTGCTGAGGTGTCTGATGAGTGACGATCTTGTTTTTTTCCAAGCCTTGCAACGTCTCCAAAAAATTTGTAAACCCATCAAATCACTCTAGCCGGGTGATTTTTATTCTTTTTATAATAAAACCAGCGATATTAAAATAAAAAAATAGATGGTTGCCGTAAAAAAATTTTTATGGTCACCCGGCCGCGATTAATACCCCCCCTTAAATTTGTCTCTCTTTTTACAAATCTTGTGTTACTTAAAAAGCAGTCAATTTGGAGAGGACAGTCATGGACAAAAGTCTTTTAAAGTTGGTTTTTAGAACTTTTGTCCATCAATTTTTGTTTTATTAAAAAGTTCATGACATTTAATAAATTGTCAAATCAATCTTTTTCTAATATTGAAATTAGAGATAATAAGCTCTTTAAGTCTTTTAATCGTTTGCAAATTGGTCGGATTTGGTTGTATCTTTACAAAATTTTATTCTGATCAACTTATCGCCTACTTATCAACTTCTGACAAAGAGAAAATCGTCGAAGCTCGAAAAAATGGAATGTCTAGAAAAGCCGTCGCTGAGCCTGATAAATTGTCAAATCAATCTTTTTGTAATGTTAAAATTAGAGATAATCAAAATAAGCTCTTTAAATCTTTTAATCGTTTGCAAATTGCTCGAATTTGGATTAAGATATACAAAGAACAAACTTCTAAAAACCAACGTTAAAAGACTTTTGTCCATGATTGTATTTCGATCGACTCTTTAAAACTATATTAAAAGAATCATTAAAGCATTAAGAAACTAAATGGTGCTAGGAAGATGTTACATTCTGTAAAGCTCATCAAAATCTTTCATTCAAGTCTGTTTCAAATGAAAGAATGGGTTGGCTGATGAAAGAAAGCAAAACAAAATGATAGAAAAGCTTTTGAAGATCAAAAGTTGAACAGAAAAAACTACCTTCTCGTAACGGAATGAATCGTGAGGTCATTCCCGTCTGCTTCAGATAGACACCTCTCAATTTTATACAAGAAATTTGCATAAATGGGCGGAAAAGAGTAAACTGAAAACAAAACAAAGGTCTTGATTTTGAAGTGAAAACATAAAATGAAGCTGTAGAAAATGATTATTTTGTAATTCTTGGCTTTGAAACAGGGAAAACAAAAGAAAATAGTACTTTTTCCCATCTCGATACTTCAAATCTCATCGACTTCAACTTTTAGAAAAGATTCTAATCAATTTACATCTAACAAAACAAATGTTTGTCAACTAGCGTTTCCTAAAAGATGTGCTTCTTATAAAGTTATTGTATCCTTTTTTCACTAATCAATTGTCCTATTTTAAATTTAAGCCACTTAATAAACCTGGCTTTTGATAGCTATTAACTCTTTAGCTTTAGCTTTTAACTATCTATCGTAATCTCTTTGCTATAAATGTTAGAGGGCTTACATTTATAGCTTACAATTTTAGAGGGATTACTCTAGCTTTTTTCAGCATTTTTTAAACAATACGAAGACAATTAAGTCAAAATAACCAATCAAAGACTTCAAATCTTTGCGATTGACCTAATCCAGCAATATGTACGTCTTTGATTCAAATAAAGTTCAAAGCTTTAAATGAAAAAGGTTAAGCAGTGATTAAAATAACTGTGCCAAGTGTTTTAAAATATTAGAATTGAAAAGATTAATAAAAATGACTATACCAGGATAAAAATAATCAATAGTCTTGCTCAATGAGACTTAACTTGTCGCCAGTTTTGACCATTGAGTGTTTGCGAAAATGTAAAAACAAAAGAAAGTAGCTAGAGGGGAGAATTTCTATTCAGAATTCCCTAGAGAAAAGTGTGAAGAAAAGGGAAATGGAAAGGGAAAGGAAAACAAACTTGTGAACAAGGGGGTTGCTTGGGGGAGAGTTGCAAAGGAAAGACTGAAATCCAATCTCTTGTCCAACGATGACCCCTACCATCTTGGACACTCATAACCAAGCACGCTTTTGAGCTTTTGAGCTTTACAAGAATGACACTCATAACCAACCAAGCTTTACAAGAATTCTCAGTACAAGCCTACATCGTAATTGAGTTTAAAAAAATAGCTGTTCTATCTGGATTTTTGACTTTTAGAATTGTATTGTCTAATCTAGTCAAACTGGGGCTTTTAATTAGCTTTTAAGTTTAAAAATGAAACAAAATTGATTATGGATGGCTATGAGATAAACCGAATTACTTTATAATTCTTTTTTTAATGGTTTTTAATAGTTTTAATGGTTTTTTAATGGATAATGGTTGATTTTTTTCAATTCTAACTCACATTTAGGTATGGATTTACTAAAAAACAATTGTCTTTTTCTACCACTTTAGTCATGTAGTAAATCTAAACAACCATAACGACGATGTTAGGTAATTTTTCAAAGCATGAATGGATATGACAAAATTTGACTGTAATGGAATCCTAAACTAACAAGAGAAAGACACAGACTGATTTAACAGACTTTAAATATGTCATATGATGAATACTGTATTTTCTCTAATAGTAGTGCACCCCGGCGAGCCGAGTTAGTGACTATTTTACGGTTTCCAAGCTTTCGCAGAAGCTCAAGACTCTAATCATCATCAAGATCTCATCGTCAGCTACATTTTCCGACCCCACATCAATAGGTTCTGTTAAGTGGTTCTCAAGATTTCGAGGAATTTAGGCAACGCTCTCGGTGCGCTACTATTAAAGAG